TATTTTCGTATGAATACTTTTCTGACAGATTTGAAACTCGCTGGTGTCAGAGTTCAAATAAGTCAAAATTTCATCGAAACTTGGCGCTACATTTTTATGACTTGGAATTTTCTGTACTCGTTGAGAAAACCGTACACAATATTTCTCTTTACAATCATAATTCAAAGTTGAGTATATTAAATAAGCCTTATTTTATCATTTATAAAGCAGTCAAAATGCTCGTGTAACTGCCGTTATATGTTGCAGGTTCCGAAATTGTCGGAAATGTAGTTGTTATAAATGTTAAGAGCATATTAGTAACATTTATTGATAAACAGCATTTGTTTTATATGAAGGAATGTTGAAATACCTGTTCCTGCCGTTAACTGTTCACGGGTCCCTCGTGTGCAAGCAGAGATTTACAACAATGAAGGCTTCAAAAATCATCGTGGAGCGAGTATTTTCCTAACGACTTTATCGGGGATCTCCTGGAGATTTTTTATTACGTGATGAAGTTGGGATTTTTTACGTTGTCCTTGTTTACTTGATCCAACTTGCTAAAAATTTCTCGCTTCCAGAGCCGCGGGAATGGTTCATGCGAGGCCTGTTTTCAACGAGACTTCATCAAGATATTTTGCAATCGTATAACACGCTGCACTGAGCTCCCACGCGAGCACTGCATAAATGAACCGTTGTTGACATGACAAATTTTGTGGTGTTTCATTCAGCTGAGATATGCTTGATTGGATCAGCATAGAACTTTGAATTACAGTTGTAATACAGAACATTTCTCATAATGCTGTTAAAGTTACTTTGAACCATAGCATCATTATGAGTCGATAATCCAGAGCGTTTCGTGGGCGATTTAAAGACGAGGAAAACGACCATGAGTGTGAGACGAGGGATGTGCTGCGTTGCGATATATCCGCGATAATTCAGGTATTTTGCTTACTTAAAATGTCTAGCATGAATGAGTTCGTTTTGATGAATTATTCTCAAGCAAATAGCAATAGAGTTAATGAATAATTAATACTTAAGAATTATATTCTCCCCAAATTCAAATAGACAGTTGAATTTATCCATTATAACTATCATTGAAAAATTATTGACTACAAGAATAAACTTTCCTGCGTGCGTGTGTTTATACGCACTTGCATGCGTAAGTCCAATCTCTTCGTGAAGTACCCCTTCCTAGAGATCTTCAAGAGGCGACAGCAGGACCTGTTTCCGAGCACAATCCCTGATTGTCGGTATTGTCCCGATGGTAGGGATTGTCCTTGGATTGCCGAGTACAATCCCTGATTGTCAGTATTGTCTCGATGGCAGGGATTGTCCCCGGATTGCAGAATACAATCCCTGATTGTCAGTATTGTCTCGATGGCAGGGATTGTCCTCGGATTGCAGAATACAATCCCTGATTGTCAGTATTGTCTCGATGGCAGGGATTGTCCCCGGATTGCAGAATACAATCCCTGATTGTCAGTATTGTCCCGATGGTAGGGATTGTCCTTGGATTGCCGAGTACAATCCCTGATTGTCAGTATTGTCCCGATGGTAGGGATTGTCCTCGGATTGCCGAGTACAATCCCTACCATCGGTGAGAAGCAATCAAGCAGGAGCACCGGGCATCAGTATGTCTCGCTCTCGTGGTCTTGGCGATGAGGACGACTTCATCATTACAGTTATTCATTTATTTGAAATGTGCGTTATCGTGGCACGCCTGGTTTCATGCACTTCGATCTCTCTATTTTTCGTGTTTAAATGACACCGAAATTAAGAAATTAATTGTACGAACTTGGAGCCAAGATTTATTGAACAGTTACTGAGCGAAAAAATTATATTACTGTTGATTTCGGGGACATGAAATACAAGGGGTATTTCTCGTATATATGATTTTATTTTGTATTTTAGCTGTGCTTCTCCATAATGATTCATTCATCCCTTTTTCTACCAGTAACCGGGTTTACTCGACGAATATGGGTCTAATTGCTGGCTCATTTCATAACTGTTTTTGTATATAAATTCCTTGATTTAAAGCAAGTAAGCGATAAAGATATTGCTAGAAGCTTAAGGAAATAGAAGTACACAGATTTTTCTTTTGTATAACCATATACCGCTCGACGAGCTAAGGTTCTCGAGAAGAAGACAACTAACGAGTCTGCTCATCTCATTCAGTTGTGGTGATTAAGAGTACAGGCCATGCATGCCAACGAGATATTAAACTTGAACTGTTTCATATCCGTTGAGTGATCCTTGATTTAATTTGCGGCGAAAAGACCCAGTCTGAGGTCTCCTATCTTCAAGAATAAAATTCATCGCTTCAAGAAAGAACCATCATTTGTCGGAGCATTACCATAACTTCATTCATACATGTATAATTATGAAGAATTCTGTCTAATTTTGTATTTTGGAGCTTAAAGAAGAAATCCCGCATCGTTCGTATTGCTTTCTTCAAGTTCGTCGACTAAACGAGTGCGCCTCTTGTAATTTTTGTGAAAAGTTGCGAAGAAAGAAAGCTTCCGTAAACTTCTGGCGTTGACTGGAAATAATGGATTGCTTGCAAATCTTTAAAGTGAAGCTACAAGCTAAAGATACCCTTGCCGATTGAAAATTTTACTGATAGGCACATTTTTTTGCCAATCCTCATTATAATAAAATCCATGCGTTTAAAATTCTTCTTCAGCCTGAAAGCCATGTCGTAACTAAATGTTTTTGGTAGAACAAAAAGTTTGAAGGATGCACAATATCTACTTTGTAACAAAGCTGCTGGAGTCATCGTAATATCATATTGTGATTACCATAGGTTTAATCTTCATCAAATTTTAACTTTAACTCCTTAGGCTATATTCCTTGAAACAATAAATGGAGCGTCAGAAAGTTGTTTAGTCTATATACGAATATGTTGACAATCGCCGTTGGAATAGTAGTAACTGAGCTGCACGCTACACTTTAAACTGGCATTGCAGTCTGTCGGCCTTGTTGAAATTTAACGTAAACATACGTCATACAATCCGACTTGTCTCTATTGATATTGTTTGTATTCATCTTAAATACCACTTACGACTATACTATTTGCAGAGTCAGGTAAAAGCTACATATTACTCACCGAATTTGTAGCTTTTTTAATCAAATACCTTGGTCTAGTTTCAACTTCTGCCTCCAATGTTCACAAGGAAGAAACATCATATTTTTAATTTGTGTTCTCTCTAAGCACCTGTGGAAACATCGTCCTTTTTTAGAGGCTTCTCCAAACATTCTGGAGTACATTGTTGGGTAGAAACAACACTCACAACACAACCTCCTCTCACAACTGCCTCTTACAACCCCCTCTCACAACATTTTCTCACAACCCCCTCTCACAACCTCCTCCCCCCCAAAAAAATATTAAAAATGTCATGAGTTCGCACTTGCATTACACTTCATCGAGGCTCGAAGTGCATGGAAGCTACGCAAAAAAATCAATCAATTAAGCAACATTTTTCTTCAGTTTGAGTGCGACAACATACAAAGCTTTAAGTTCAAGTTTACAACGTTATATATAAATCAATACAGCGCTCGACACATTTTGATCAACATTGCGAGATTTTATGGCTGCCTTAGTATTAGATTTAACATTTCATAATTATGAAATCAGAAGATCAGCGTAGTTATTAGAAATGTTAACTTCCCTTATCACGTATCTCACCTTTTAATTCTGTTAATGGTCACTGATGAGTCAGAAGCAACGCAATTCAACGATTGCGTACCTTGCCAGCCTCCGCTTATAATTATCGTTTGCATATAAATCCCAAATGCTACTGAAATATCAGAATATTGTGACAACCGACACAACTTAGCAATACGGAGGCACGGTATCCTTTTTTAAGTACAAATTATTCGGATGCGAGTTCTGATCCGAAGCAAAAATCAGGTATTGTTTGTGTAAAAAATAAAATGTTTTATGTGAAGAAAGTCAATTATTTTACGAGTATACAATCAAATATTGCGCGAGACAAAATCGTGTATTGTATATGTATATCAATTCAAGCATTTTACGAATCTAAAATCAAATATTGTATGAGTACTTATGCAAATATTGTATGAGAACGTCATTTAGATTTTATGGCCAGATGACATCATTTTTAGCGCATTTTCTCATTTATGGAAGAAATGCACTATTGTGCTCGCCATGTCCGTCTGTCTGTCTGTGCGTCCGTCTGTCCGTCCGTCCGTGACCTCAAGTTTTCGTTGACGAGAAAATGCGCATTCTGTCACTCACCGCAGTGAGTACTGAGTTATATTTTTTTATCATTACGCTAATGAGAACTGATCACCCGCAGCTCTGCGCACGATACTCGTACATGCTAATGAGCGTCGACCTTGTGTCGTACGATTCAGCTGTTCTTATCCTCCGAACTTCAATTATAAGCCATGCAATTTTCTGAAGCTAGGATCGGCGCATTGGTGCGTTCATGCATTCCAAAATTTATTCAAGTATAACCGGAATAAATGTTTTTCCGGTCGGCGGGCTTTAAAATTTCTAGCATATAGAGAAGTCTCTAAATTGGATCTCGATTTGATACTGACATGAGGAAGTTTCTTCATACACTTGTGTAGTTTTATTGGCGAGTTTATCCAACTTGATATTTTCCAACATAGGTTATTATCCTAATTTTATTTATCATAATTGTTTTTCGTCCTGTATTGATATTTTGAACTTAAGCTCTTTTATTCTCCCCTCTACTCAGAAGATAAAGTCGCTACTAAATCTCACTAATAAGCATTAAATCTGCGCTGGCAGCAGATAAAATATCTTCGCTATCAATAAATGAATACACTAAATGTATACTAGATAATATAACAATTCGAATAATAACTGAATGATTCTAAACAGTTGGATGCCATTAATTTCTAAAGATACTAGAGTTATCGATTCGCTGCGGTGCGGTAAAACATTCTTATTTATGAAGCATATCCTGATATACATCCTCATGCACAATATTCACTCCTTGTAACACAATCTCCTGTTCGTTGGTGCGCAGATTGTGCCGCACAGCGGGCCAGGCTGGGATAGATTTACGGTGACGCCGTCTGCTATTTCTGGACCGCTTCGAGAGTACCAAGTGGACAAGGAAGAAGCATCGGACGTTAATGACATTGCTGACGTCAATGTGTCTCCTAATGATCTTCTGGCGGAAACAAAAGTGACAAAAGATGGCCACGAGGTGGTCCTTGATCTTGCGGTAGATGAATTGCATTTTTCGTCGCCACTGGAACGAGTTCGAGGTCATAAAAATCCATTCCTCAAAACTGCCAGCAAACAAGGAGCCGTTCTTTCTGCGTTGCAGGACCTTGATTACGAAGATGGCGTGCAGAGGAGAGGCTTCAAATTCATGGTCCAAGTGACTGACATGGTTCGTGAGTTATCATTGATTTGCCACGGAAAGCATCACAAAATTAAATTCAATTCACAGTTATTTACATCAGGTTATCAGGCAAACCTGCAATAAATGTGATAATTCTACGAAGATCTTATAAAAAATGATCAGTTCCTTGAGTGCTATTATCAGATGGCGAAACTTAGGAAAATGAAATGTTGCACAAATCAATTTACCGCAAAGTATAGCTGATAACGGGAGGTGTGGAATCTGGGCGAGCTCAACTGGTAGAAATCAGAGCTTGTTTGATATCGTTATATTTGATATTTAGGTTATGCTCTAGCTAAAAATAAAGCTATGTATAACAGAAATCAATGTTACGTACAATTATTTCACTAATAAAATTCATTATATTAGTGAAATAATAATTGTTTCACTAATTGCAATTAGTGAAATAGTTATTAATAATTATAATTTATAATATAAATATTTATATTATTTATATCGCTGCTGCAAAGACCATGATTGAGACGGAATGATGCTTATACCACTAAACTTATTCTAATCGATGGCCGCGAAAGTTTTTCCGAGGCTTCATCGATGTAGAACGCAAGTCTTGACTCAACAGGTTAACTTCTCCCGTATGCAGAGCCAAATTTTAAACTCATCAATAGCGTTCATATCAAATTTTTAAAAATTTTATTCTAGAATAAATTGCTTCCGAACGTTGAATTAAAAAACTAACTTCAGGGTTGAGATGTTTTATATCACTTCCACCATCTATATAATTGGTACATTGATGTCAATCATTGCCAAAAATTGCAAATTGTCGCATGAGAGAAGTGTCAGTATCATGTCACCATATCATAATGAAGGAAATCATCATGTCACCATATCGGTATGAAGGAAGTGATCATGTCACCATATCAATATTATTCTGTCACTGCAGCCTATTGATTGGTCGTCGGTGCCACCGAAGCTTCCGCCAGAGCTCTCCCCGTTTCACTCCCATCGGATGGACTTGCTTCAAGCCTCCACATTGACACCAGAATTCCCGCGAATTTCCTCGTGCTGGGTGGAAGTTCTGCTTTTAGATTCAAATGACAATCCTCCGAAATTGTTGAAGCACCGCGGTCAGCTGACATTGCCTGAAGACACTTCAGTTGGCACGTTACTGGACGACTTCCCTGCAACCGATGCAGACTCAGTAAGTTTATCCAGCAGTACTTCCTGGAAAGTTAAAGTGAAATTTAAGCATACTTGAAAATAAGCACATGGAATTCAGTCTCAAGTGGCAGCTTCATATTTCCTCGAGGCTAACCGTGAAATTAACATAACAAATTAAGCCTCATTTGGTCAATTAATGGCTCTTCCCCAAAACGGTGTAATTCGACCGATAAATAAGCCATTTTTTGCAATAGAATGATCCGTACCTGGGGTAATTTGCAGGCCTGAAAGCTTATAAGTGTATTGTTATGCATTGACAATTGTTTGTACGGCAAACAATATTTTGCTTCGCATCTTCCAGTGATATGTTTGAATGTAACAAGCATTCCAAGTAGTATTTTGCATCTAATTAAAGAGCTTTACTTAAATATAAATGCTTTAAGGATTAAATTAACTGCGTTGACGCATCAAATACATTACTCATATAATTAAAAATAAATCATTCATATTCAGGTAGAAATCATAACACCTACAATTCTCCTTGCACTTCAAAAGTCAAACATCTTCAGTACATTAATAAAGTAAAACTGAGCCTGTATTTCCAAAACACTCCTTCCAATAAGCTAAAGTCTGTCAGTCTACTTATTAGAGCAGCATTAGGAGTATTTTTTTATTGACCATAATGAGTAGGGAACGAACATCTTGTGAATCCTTCGGTAATAATAATGAGCGATAATCAAACAACTTGCGATTAGTTCCGTGATAACGATGAGTGGTGCCCTAATATCTTCAACTGTTAACCATTTGAGCATTGTTTTAATTAACCACGCAGTTTCGTGTTCAGTAGAAGATACAGAAGAGCAAGGTCTTTAAATTCACGTCATTCTGTGTTCACTACTCGAGTCTGAATGCTAAATAATTTCTAGTTACAGAGTTATGGTTTTAATGCTTGGACAGGAGCTTTAATTAATAATAGACTGATGATAACGTATACGTAGATGCATTTTGTCAGTTTGTCTGCTCATGGGCGACAGCGATGAAAATGTTACCACCTTCCGCATATAAATCCGTATTTAATTCGGCGCCAAATAAAAAATTCTAGAAAATGCGTAATTATTCTGGCTTGATTGGCGATATCCGATTTTGATTGATTGGCGGCCTGACTTCTGTAGTCGTGATGCGCCTGCAATGAAGAATGAATAGACAGCAGTTCAATTATTGTACCTTCGTGACATGCTTCAGCTGTCACGAAATATTCATTTAAATTCGCTTGCTTGTCGCTGTTGATATGGGCATGAAATTTTTTGAACTTGTTCAAAGAAATTTTTCAATAAATTAACTGAAAAGATTTTTTGCCCATAAATTGTTTTCTGCGTTTTAAAATGAGATTTTAAAATCATCTAAAATATTAGCTACGCCACTGAATATTAAGTTCACATCCCCAACAGCGGAAATTATTCCTTTTTATCGCATCATTCATTCAGGTCGAGCGAAAAAAATTGGTGATTTATGGTATGAAGTTATTGCGATATTTTTGTCGAACTTGGCTCTCAAGAATATCGTTTCTACTTAACGTTTCTAATTTTTGACAGGGCGCTAATGGCTTGATTCAGTACGCAATATCAGCGGCCAGTGATCCCGACGGACAGTTCGTGGGAGCCGACGGGCAGGTGTGGCTGCAGCGGCAGCTGGACAGAGAGACTCGTCAGCAACACGTCCTGGACGTGCTTGTGTCTGACTCAGGCCATCCAGCACACACCGTCACAGCCACCCTCACCATCACCGTCACTGACGTGAACGATAATCCTCCTTTTGTTTCAAGCTTAAAAATCCCTTCGGAAAATGATGTCAAGTATACTACAACTACTATTCATGGTTCAAACTTTGAAGTTCAGCCTCAAGTGTTGAATAAGAAGTTTATAGTTCATCATTACAAGTCAAATCTGGCCATTACGGTTCCTGAGAATGCTGCACCCCGAACTCTCTGCTCTTTGCTGCTCAACGACCCCGACGACTGGGAGCTCGGCAATGGGCCGCCCTTCCGCATGCAGATCGATCCTGCTGCTGCCGGGGAAATAAAACGGCTGTTTGCGGTCACCTATAACAGTGGTGAGTTTGGGGACCGATAAAAAGTGATATAAGCAGTGACAGGTTAGGAATAAATTTCCATAGCACAAGGAAAGGAAAAATTTTCTTGTTCATTTTCTAGGAAGTATCGCCGTCAGAGTGACTATATTAATTAGGCATATATTTTGATATAAATTGTTCTTAAGATAAACATGATTCACAATGCTCAAAATAAAATATCGAATCTAAAATGTCGCTTATTTTTTCAATAATTTCTTTTGAATTGCCATGATTAAAAGGAATAACTTCAATTGGAGCTTAACAATCAGTAAAGTTCATGCAATTTGCCCCGCAGACGTGCGAGGCAGAGAGCTGGGGACCGTACGGTCTCTGCAGCCTCTGGACCGCGAGTCCGAGGTGGGGCCGATGCTGAGGCTGCCGCTGCTGCTGACGGACAGCGGCGGCCTGTCGGCCACGGCGACCATCACGGTCCTGGTGGCAGATCTCAACGATAATCCAGCGCAGCCTGCCACCAAACAAGTCCAGGTCGTCCGAATGAAGGTCAGTATTCGTGTGGTTTCTCTGGGTAAGCATTCTCTATGTCGTAAAATCTTGTACGTGGTGTATCAGCTGATCTAGCTGTAGTATTAGCTGATCTAGCTGTAGTATCAGCTGATCTAGCTGTAGTATCAGCTGATCTAGCTGTAGTATCAGCTGATCTAGCTGTAGTATTAGCTGATCTAGCTGTAGTATCAGCTGATCTAGCTGTACAGTATCAGCTGATCTAGCTGTAGTATTAGCTGATCTAGCTGTAGTATCAGCTGATCTAGCTGTACAGTATCAGCTGATCTAGCTGCAGTATCAGCTGATCTAGCTGCAGTACAGTATCAGCGTGCTCTAATGGGCCGGTCACTATCCCAAGCACGAGGCGATCTTTCAAGGAATCCGACCTCATGACATGGCAAAAGTATTACGTTGCTAGATCCAAGCGTGGCGGGGCGACTACGACTGTATAGTTTTCGAAGGAAGTCAAGCGACATGTTCATATGACAGTGGATTTATCTCACATGTCAGACCTACGCTTCGCAATAGTGTGTGTCAATCTTTAAGAAGGCTGGAAAACTAAACTTGTCTATTATAGGCTTGTGCAGTAAGCCTTGGGATTTTTTTTCTTGGCAGCCAATTTTACAGCACTTCTCTTTAAATTCACTTTGGCTGTCCGATAACAAATCTTATAATTGATATTTAACACACTTCTACCTCTCCAATCGATCTGAAATTTTGCACACTTGCGTAGAGTCAGAGACAATCCACAAATCATTTGTCAGAATGAATAATTTGATTTTTTTAATTTAACAATAAAATAAGAGAGCGCAAAATCGAAGACACCTGCCTCTTTGGAAGTGTGGTATTTCAAAAGTATTTTGAAATGCATATTAATTGCATTGTAGTCGCACAAGACATACATTGTACACTGTACAGCATGTATATTGTCATATTATGGCACTTGTTGAGGGCTTCATTTTGTTCACAGTAAAATTGTTAAATTTCATCTCCGAGTGCATCCGACTTCAAATAATTTAAATATAAAACAATCATATTCATATTCAATGTAAGTTACCGGGTGTGATTTGAATGGTTTCGTAATGTTCAGTGATGTCTTTTATAATTTCGGAATGAAAACTCAACTTCAATGCCATCGGCGCATATTTTCGGTTTAGCTCATTTGATTCTCATTTCCTGCCGCTCTCAATCCAGGCTTGATCGAATGGTTCCAGGCTTGATCAAATGGTTCTAGGCTTGATCGAATGGTTCTAGGCTTGATCGAATCTTCTTTCTTTGTGGCATTCTAATGGAATTTCACTCATTGCCTCGTGAGAGTTGGAATCGCATGCCCAGATCTTGGAGCAAATTCCTCCACAAAACCCTTCAAAACTTTTTTGAAATAATTTTACTTACGATATTTTTTCGTCAATTACCTGTATAAGTTTTCGCAAGTCTTCATCATCGCCATTCCATAATCATTTTTAGATCAAGCCCTAATTTTTTTGTTCGAGAAGCTGGGGTGCGTTCGAAGTTTAGATCTATTTACCGTGATGCTCACCGCAAGTTAACCGTATTTTATCGAGAGCCATATTTTTCTATTGAGAACGCGTTTGTGCGAGCCAGGGCAATGTTCCTAATGGATCGTCCGAACTCCAGCCTCTTGAAGCCTCAACGAGCGCTCACTCAAATGGGGCAAAGTGTAAGTCTTCCGAACTTTAATTTTGTCAATGATTTAATTTCGATTATGAAGTAACAGAGCAATTTCAAGAGCAATGCTTAGTGACGTGTAATTGTGAAATGCTAAGAGCAATGCTGAATGATAGTGCAATGCCAAAAGATGTGCTGCATATAGCAATACTAAATGAATAAAATGATGAGTAGCAGTGTCATGCAAAGCTCATCTCTGATGAGCGGTCCTGAAAACTTTTATACTGCACTGCAGTATCGAATTAAATGAAAGACGTGTTACATGTAATAGATTTATGGGCTTCGATTCTTTCAGAAATGGAAGCCTCCATCTCATAGATTGGTTTTTCGCCCACCGCTTGGCCGCCCAGCCTTGGAATATGCGAAATATGATTGCTTTGTTGAGCTTACCGTAATATTGATTGCCTTGTACCCTGAAACATGGAACAAAAGATGAAACTGTGTTCGTATTTTAGCTTCTACGCTCTTTTGTATTCGCGCTATTGCAATAATTTTAATGCATTTGTTTCGTATAATAATGATTTTTGTTTATAAAAGTTTGCATTTTTGTAAACGGCAGTCAGAAAGTTGCAAAAATAGCTCCTAATATCTCTTAAATTTGCATCCTATGATTAAATGTGCTTTTATTTTTTTTTAAATTTCATTATAATCAATTTAATCATTTTGAAAAGTCAGTTTAAATTCAGAAAATTGAACAGACTTAAGCAACTTAATTATCTGCAGTCATAGAAGGTCATAGAATGATTTTTTGCAGGCTTCAATTTATTTTGATTATTCATTCTGCTACTATTTTCATCCACCTATTTGAAGTAAAAATATTGGGTTAATAAACATTAAACGATCTGCGCGTGGTAAGCTTTTCGAATGAATGCAAGCGAGCGCACGTCTGTCTGTCCGATATTGGCTGTCAGGCCGAATAATGGAGGACTAAGCTTAATGCTTAAATGGTTTGATTAGGCAGGTGAAAGGGCTGTGAAAGGGGACACAACTTGTTTTATGAGGCTGGTGAAAGGGTTGTGAAAGGGGATATGACTTGTTATATAAGGCCGGTGAAAGGGCTGTGAAAAAGGATACCACTTGTTTTATGAGGCTGGCGAAAGGGTTGTGAAAGGGGGCACAACTTGTTTTATGAGGCTGGTGAAAGGGCTGTGAAAAGGCATATACGACTTGTATTATGAGGCTGGTGAAAGGGATGTGAAAAGGAATACAACTTGTTTTATGAGGCTGGTGAAAGGGCTGTGAAGGAGAACACGACTTGTTTTATGAGGCTGGTGAAAGGGCTGTGAAAGGGGTTTCTTTCCACCAACTTCATTAAATGTCACGAGGCCAACGATATTTGCTGCTGATACATTCATAAGTTTCGTCAAGATCATGAATTATTTATTGTAAAAAAATCCTTGGGTTAAGTTGGTTAAGTATTATTACAAAGATTCTGTTTCGCAAAATCGCATCGCATTACTGATCTGTATTCTTATGTATGAAAGTTTCCTAACTGTGTTTAATATATAACGTCTGTAAATATTGATGAAACTTTTTTTACTTGGGGGAATTTTAATATCAGCCTTAATATGCATAGAAAGCATTGGACATATCGCCATGCCATCATGATTGATGACATGTTCGCAAGTCTGCGCCAAGAATTCATTATTGCATCTTAAGGCTCGCATTACTCTCACTCCTCGAGAATTTTCTTCAATGGTTTTTACAACCTTCGATGGCTCTCGACTACATAAAAGAACTAGACTCTCATTTCTGACTGCCCTTGAATATTTATCATCAACTTTAACTTCGCTTCACTGCTCGCGAATATTGACTTTACTTTCGTCTATATTTCATAGATAAAGACACGCTTCTGGCAAACGAATTATTCTTTTGACTACAGGCTTAGGTCTCGTATAGCCTTCCACCTAAAGTACTTATAACGACAGGCAGCATGTGAACGATGTTACTCTTAACGACAGGATTAGGCCTCGTTAACACAGGATGAACTTTTTAACAAATATTCTGCGACCTGGCAGCTTGGTCACTCGTTCACGCCAAATGATTTTTTTGATAATATGGCCTATTATCAGGTTCTGATCTCATCCTAAAAATCCCTTTGTTTTATTGTTGAGAACGTAATTTATCTTATTCATTTCTCGTTCTGCATCAAACAAAACTAATTTTCAATCGTGCATATCCTAAACTGGGGCCAGCGGTCCAATAGCATGTGATGTAATTCTTAATAACCAAATTATTGCTCACGGTGCATCGTGTTTCATATTGAAAGCTATATCCAATAGATTATTTTTTTTTCAGATGAAGTTTATGAGATTATTTCACTATATATCATGTTATATATTCAGATGGCATTTGCTTTTGTAACTAACTGATTAATATCTGTGTTACATCACAACCCGTACCTCAAATTTTGCGGCCATTCTCAACATGTCTGCCGTATAATTCGTTTCTCAGCCCGGACGTTATACTTACAAGCTTTGTATTGCGGACTGTACGAGGCTTTGCCTGGCGCAATTTGTGGCTTGTCAAGTGCCAGGCAACACTTACCGCCCGCCGCTCTTCTCACTTATTGCCGAGTCATGCACAACATAAGCCGAACATCGGCAAGGTCCAACATTACGAGTCACTTTGAAATTTAATAATAACGAAACGAAAAATAACCCTCTAGAATGCGGCTTGAACATCAAATTCAGACATATTGCTATAAATTTTACTTTTAAATCAGATCATAAAACTAATCAATGTATGCCTTGTGCTGCTCACAGGATGAGCAGCTTGTGACCCCCCTGGGTCGGGTGTACGTGCGGGACGCCGACGACTGGGACGCGTCTGACAAGACCTGGCGGTGGCGAGCCGCCCCCCATCCGCTCTTCTCGCTCGACGCCAACACCGGACAGCTCGTCATGCTGCCCGATGCTCCGGACGGATGGTCAGCAGCAGATATTTATTGTAGTAAATTTATATTTATACTTTATTTTAAAGTTTTTCAAGCTTATTACATATGTTTATCTGCAAATTTGCTATTAGTTATTGTACTGCATTGTTGGATCAAGTTATTATCATCACATTAGAACTTCCCAGCAAGAAATTGTTGTTAATTCGGTTTGTATATTAATTTGCAGGGAAATAATAGCAGGATACATTTTATTTATAGAAAACTCCAGATCACAGCCCGTGTAGGCGTTGCTGTTAGTTTTGTTGTAAATATGCCTATCGATTCGGCCAATAATTTTTCTATTCGTAGAAGAAAATTTACAGTATGCTGTGGATATAAAACTGCAACTCTAATTTTGCTATTCCGCCCAGCCACGGCACCGTTGTCAACTTCTGAAGATAACTGTGCTTGAACTCGTAGTTCACTTATCATATACGTATCTAATACGTATCTTATATCGTAGTTCACTTATTATACGAGTTCAAGCTTGAACTCGTAGTTCACTTATCCAGTTAATGTGGTTTAAACTTCAATCAATAGGCCACGCTGTCGAATATAATCTTCGGATTAATACTTGAATATACGAAAATAATGCTTTTATTTGGGCTGTCTGTCGTAATTAGACAGCCGGTGGAAAACTATCACGTGGAAAAAATTCCGCAGAAGTTTCCAGGATTATCTCTTTGCTTTTTAGCCGAGAGTAAAGGTGATTGCAATTCCAATAAAGATTGAGTCCAAGAAAAAAACTCAATATAGGCAAGCTGTATAAAAGTATTGCTCGCGTGCGACGTTACTCATTAGGTTTTAGCGAGGGAGCTTGCGACATTCCGGCACAGCTTCTGCGCACGACAGCTAACAGACAGGCTGCGGAACTGCAAAAACTCTAATGCTATTTATCTCGCGTAACTATCGAGGAATTATTCAGGATTTGTCGCCTGTGATGTTTTCTCGCAACCGAGGAAGATAAGTTAAAGAAATAATAATTCTAGGTCGTGGTATTGACATACAAAGTTTTGAAGTGCATTCAACTTCTGAGTTTCTTGATATGACGATCCAAGTGCCATCAAAGGTTCGGAATGATCCCTTCCGTGTGCCGGATCCTCAAGTTGAATTTACTGCAAATTGGTCTAAGGATTGAAAGGCCTTAGCAGGTGATGCGTCAGAAAACAGGGCAACGAAAGTGTGGCGTAAAAAGTAGAGATAAGCCGTCCAGTCTCTGATTTGGTGATAACGAAATACTGTGGAAGAAATGGGTTTATATTATGAATAGTCAAATTTAGCGCTGGAAAAATTTTCAAATGTTGGACACAAGTTAACGAGATAATTTCGTGAATAACCTATCAACCTGAGATTTTATTGTCCAGTGTGGTTGAACACTTTTAGTTGGAAGAATTATCGGGGAAAATAGTGGAAATCAGTTGAAGGGGTGAAAAGTTTGACGAGAAAATAATAAGAAGAATAGCACGAGGTTTAACTGCTTTTGTAAGGTATAAATAGTCTTAATATTAAGATTTAATAGCGGTGAACTTCGCGAGAACAGTATTAGTTACCGCACTATAAGAGCAATGAAGACTTCATTTGAAAATTTGATTAATTAAATTTTTCGTTTGGATTTTACAAAATAAATTGTTTAAATTGCTTGCAGCGTTTGAGCTTCACGCTCAGGCCAACTTCCCGCAGAAGATAGGATAAATGATTCAAATAGTGCAATAAATAAACAAAATAAAATTTAAACGGCATTCATTCAAACACAAAAATAGAGCGACAGGTTTACTGCAGGAGGTTAGAAATACTTGGGTGCCAATCACTTGCAACACTGTTTGGTGATGCCGTTATGGTATTGTTTATTTGGAAACATTTAAAATTCGGAACATTGAATAAAATTTAAATCGACGAGTTTATTCGGAACTGCATAAATTTTATCAAAAATATTTCGAAACATGTTTGTGTCCTTTAAAATTTTCAGTCAGTCACCATTTGTAGAGGGAATTGTAAATTTAATTTCTATGTAGTCTATGGGTAAAGAGGTCCATTGAATATTTTGAATGTTGAGTTTGTCGAATTCAACAGTAAGTTCGAATAGAGGAAAGAATTTCGATCGTCCTAAAGCATATGCCCGTTACTACGAAAGACCTGCCAGCAGTAAGCATTATGGCAAATTTAATATTTAAACTTTTACATTTTAAGTTTTGCAAGCTTTTCACTGCTTGTCAGCAAACCTGTTATTAGTTATTGTAGTTAATCCCTCAGCCCTTACATTGACAGAGCTAGTGCAACAAGCAGTCTGTCAAGGGTGAGTTGCAATCTGTCCAGGTACAAGTTGCAGTTCCTGGTGGATGACGTATTGCACGACCAGCACGACGTGTCGGCTAACGTATCTGTGCACGTGACGTCACACGACAGTCTTGATGTCGTGCGTCAGGCAGTCGTCATCACGGTAGCTGATGAGACGCCTGCGACGATCATCCAAACAGACGAGGTATTAATGTAAATTATCAATAGTTTGAGTTTTATTGATAAAGTAATACTTTAGATTGAGTGCATCCAAAAAAGGGTGTTTTTTGTTTAATTATATGTTTTTTGGGGTGTAGATAAAGAATCTGAAATCCGTTTTTGGCGGTCGGCATCGGCAAACCGATTTTTTTCCCCGAGGCTCTAATTCGTCAAAAAAATCGGGCAAAAATCGGCAAAATCGGCGAAAAAACCTAACCTAACCTAACTCAATTTAACCGTGGTTGCAATGTCGTGGTTGCAAGAGTATATGGGTCACCGTGGCTAAGTTAAAAACGCTATAAATCCACGGATATTGGGGCCAAGATGTAACTTGCATTTTATATTAGAAAATATATAAAAATCGGCATATATAAAAATCGGTTTTCAGATGCCGACCGCCAAAAACAGATTTCAGATTCTTTATCGATACCCAAAAAAACATATAGTCAAACAAAAAAAACACCCTTTTTTGGATGCACTTAATCTAAAGTAATACCATTGACAATAATTAACATTAATGTAAAAAAATTTACTTGTACAGAATATATCCATCGCTTCTTATAATTTAAGACCATCCCTGTTAGTTTGAGTTTTATTGAAAATAATTAACATTAATGTAAAAAATTTACTTGTACAGAATATATCCATCGCTTCTTATAATTTAAGACCATCCCTGTTTATTTATTTATTGCATACCAAAAGTTTTGGACATGACTTGTTCATGTTTATAGTTGACTTGTGTTTATATTATTTAAGTAGGTAGTAAAACCAGTGGAAAATGATGAGTTTGAGTCTAGATGGGCATTCAACGATTCCTGGGATTGCAATTCTTCGTAATTCTTCAAGAATTAAGTGACTTCTTGAAGTTATTAAATGGAATTCTCCACGATAGTGGATAGACCTTTCATACACACTATACTGCTGACTTCACTATACTTCTTCACCATACTTCACTATACTTCACTATACTTCATTATACTTCACTATACTTCACTATACTTCACTATACTTCACTATACTTCAATTCACTATATCCTTCACTATACTTCACTATACTTCACTATACATCACTATACTTCACTATACTTCACTATATACTTCACTATAATTCACTATATATTTCACTATACTTCACTATACTCCTGGACGAGATTTGTTTGAAACTCGACAACTGCTGCAGTGTTCTACAGTAGAGAATTTATAACGATTTTTTACTGTTTCTCTCTGTTCGAGAGTTTCTTATTTACCAAACTTCTGTGGCTTCCCCTCAGTACAAGAAGCAGTTCTGTTGTTCCCTCCGTTTACAACTTGAGATTTATTCGGTTACTCGAATTTATCATTCGCAAAAGAAATATTCAAACGAGCATGTCGAACATCTTCTACTGTTATTCCTGCTGTTTTCATGGTTCACTGAGAGATTTCATTGGTCTTTTTTAAACGGAATTTTTCTTTATCTTATCTAGCTTGAAATTTAAGTCTATATTTTCGAAGCTCAAACAATTGGTTATGTAAAATTAGTTTTCAGCTATGAAAACATATAGATTCAATAGTACATATTTTTAAATGAAGCAATTATATTCGATTTGATAATTCTAAATGGAACAAATTATTCGATTTTCATCGATCAGCTTTCAGATTGGTTAAACTTTGGAAATTTTATCTATTTAAAATTTGAATAGTTTATTTTCAGTGAAAATGAAGTCAATTGAAAAAATTCAGCTGCTGTTATTTTGCAAAACTTAACAATGTATATTAGCAAAACGAGCAAGACTCTTGAAACGCTTCTACACGTGGTGCGGCATGAGAATATAAACAAAACAGTCTACTATAAATCAGTAAATTATAATGACAAGTTGTTCGTGTACGATGACAATAGAAGCTATTATCGCTACATCATTTTGCTATTATTAATGCAGCTATGCATTTTTTCGTCTAGATTTATTTGATTAGGGCGATGATGTACTTACCGTCATTTAAAAATACAATGTCGTCTCTGAATATAATTTATTAATATTTGTCAAAGCAGAGCAGCAGGTCTCCGCTGGAGCGCCTGCTGCAAGCTGTGAGCGACGTAGCTGCAGTGGCCGTAGAGCTTGTGGCGCTAGAGGCGCGCGTGCCACAAACCGCTTACCTTCACGGCCCCATCGTCGTAAAAGATCAATACGACGCTAACTTCTCGGATAATGCAAATCCCTATCCTCGGAGGTCCTCACGATCCAAAGCGAGCTCTAAATTGGATGACAGGCACATGATAGGAAACAGATTGATTCCCTCCTCCGGTATGATTTATGTTAATAAAAACACGAAGTTAATTCAAATCGAGTCATCTACAAGTGATCTTGCTGTTGAACTCACCGAGCAAACCGGTGCCAGAGTTTGGGTGTACGGCAAGACCAATTTTTCCTTGGATCAACTATTGCTCCTGCACATTGACAGGGTAAGATGAGATACGAATATTTTAAGCGTTTCCTAATTAAACTGTGACTGATGTGAACGGGCGTAATGTGAACATAAAACAAACGTGTTTTAAAAGCATCCGATGTCCTTTTTGTTGACCATGTTTTCTCAAAATGAAATAGTTCTGTGAATTAGGAATCTTTTGGCATTTGAATAAGTATTTTGAGCTTTAATTACATTCAGGCAACGCTGCTTTTTACATAATTTACTCGTATTGTTCAAGTTCCCGATTATCCTAGATTTTAGAAAACTTATTGAAGCTATTCGCTAGTCGCGATGACGTAACTACATATGAATCTAGACTCATAATACTGGTCATAGATTTCTAGAGCGAGTAGAATGAACGTCTTCAGCGTGGGGGTTGGAATTTGCGGAGAATTCCCGAGAATGAGAATTGAAGAGAATGAGCCCGAGCTTCCCGCTGCCCCGGACGACGTGACTCGGCGGCAGCGCCTGCAGCCTCTCACCCACCCCGACTACAGGAGTCAGGACCAGCTCACCGTGCAGGTCGTGGTCGTGGTATACTCGTGGTCGTGGTATACAGGTCGTGGTCGTGGTATACAAGTCGTGGTATGCAGGTCGTGGTCGTGGTATACAGTTCTATGACTTGTCAGATAGGCGCGGTGATATAAGACTTGAAATGTAAAAATCAGATGAATTTATAAGATTAAATTTGTGTCAAACTAATGCATGATAACATAAGACGAATTAAAAACACTGGATCATGTTAACTAAATTCTTATGTTCGATTTCTTGCATTTTACGTGCGTTGACTTCGTTATAAAAATTTAATCTCCTCCTCTGTATCTCTGGAAAAAAAATTAAAACAAAAATTACAGACATCTCGAGAATTCCCCTGTTCTAGAAATCGCTCATCAATCGGACTTCTAAAATTTTGGATTTCGTTTCGCTCTGAACTATTTCTCGTATATTCCTGTGCTTTGGGTAACATTATATTCATCGCTGTCGCAGCTGGATTAGATCATCATTGTACGTTCGCAGCATTTTTTTCATTGCACCACCACAGGAGATGCTTTCGAAGTCATCACATCACTTCTGGGTGGTGGACGGCAACGCGACATGCGTTGTGACCCCTCGTCTGGAAATGAGCTTAGGCTGCAGTTGCCTCAAGTCACGTCCGGCCTGTGGCCAGCACAGCCCTCCGGCTCAGCACAAATCGCCAGCAGACGTCGAGCACGGTGACCGTAGCCAGGATACTACGGCTGGACAACAACGGAATACGGCCGACATAAGGAGCTGGCCTGTCAAAATACGTCTTGACGTTTCTAACTCGGAGTCTAGTGACTTGAATTCCTGGCCATCTAAAAATTTTCATTATAAGAACACATTTGAATCGCTGGAGGATAAGAAGCCTAGTTTCTTCTCAGTCTTCGATAAATGCAGTGAAGCTCTTTGCTTGAATGGGGGACGCTGCATTGAAGACCAGGCTAGAGCAAGGTGAGGCTCTTAAAAATTATTGATAAATATCGTTCTTACGCTAAGACAACTGCAATTATATTCGACTCCTCGTAGTTATGTTTCCATTTATCTTATTTATAACTTATTGATAATTCGCTTTTAAAGTAAAAGATAAAATTAATTGTGATACATTGGTCGATAAATTAGCTGTCTTTTATTTTCGTTGATATTGTCTGGGTGACAGAGAGGCATGCATTTTTGCCGTCTCTCACGGCATGAATTTCCTCTTATACAGGTGCATTTGCCCACAAGGAACCAGTCAACCGTTTTGCAAGCAGCTAGAGGCGCATTTCAAAGGAGTTTCATCCACGCCTGTAGATGAACAGGGACAGTCAGATAAGTATGGTAGTTGGATGTGGCTTGGCACGGCGAGACTGTGTTCGCCAATGCACATCAGCCTCGAGTTCCGGACAAAAGAAGAGAATGGGACATTGCTGTACGCTGGACCAAGGACGAGGTCGCCGACCACGAGCCAGTCTATGCACCTAAGCGATGAAAAAGTAACTGCTGAAGAGCCCATCAGAAATTATCGAAGTCGTCGAACTCTTGAACTGGGAGTAGGGAAGATGCAGTTAAGAGACGACCATGTACAGAAAGTGGACCAATTCAACGTGAGTACAGCGTAACATTACCAATAGCTTTACCAAATTGAACAAATTAATGTGTAACAAAAAATTCTTCATTCAACAGCCTTTGGAATTTTTGCAATATTTATTTAAATTTATATAAATAAAAAATCGTATACATATCAAGAAACGAAGGGCTTAATCATAATCACAGTTATTTTGATTGTTACGAGTGATTCCTTCTTTCATACCCACATATTTTACAAGCGTACTTCAATATGCCAGTTGAAAGATTTGTCAAACCAGTCTCAAAGCAGTACGAAAGGTAACTCATAGGTCATCAAACCGCCGGGCAATGGGTTCTACGCGGCTGACAATATCGCGGAATAGGGACAACTTGTGGAAAAACACCTTTCGGCTGCCGAAATATCGATAAAATTTGATCTTATTTCCAATAGCCTTCTTAGGTTATTATGTTTTACTTTTACACAAGCTGTTGGTTTCGGACGTGTAGAAATTAAGTGATCGCCAGAAAAGCGAACGGATGTATAAGTACCTACAGAAGGCGCAATGATACACACAAAGAGGTTTAAAATGATACATTCCCTCATTTCCCTGATACACTTGAATGCTATAGCATTGGGAATTGCTAGACACAGAAATAATGATGCAATTCTCTAGGTGATGTAATTCTCCTGCACGATGTAATGATGTAATTCTCCTACACGAGAAAGATGCAGTCGGAAAATAGATGGAAACCGAGTCTGGGCTCAATTATTATGCATGCTTTCCCTGTCTTTGTTCCCGAGAAGACCAGCTCGCGGATAAAGGCTACTGGAAATAACGTAAAGAAATAAGGCCAGAGTTTATCGCTAGTTAAATAACGGGTTAAAATATGCTTGAAAACAAGTCTACTTAATTTTAGTCATTCATGCTGTGAAGCTGTAATTATTATATGTACATTTTGGCAATTGATTCATGCATTAAAAAAAATTCTACGAACCTAAATAAAGAAATTGAGAGCATGCAAAAATATTTGAACGTAAAATAAAAAACTTAAATGAGGAATGTCAGGGCTAATTACAAAATAATTACTCTTTTTTACAACTGGAGACATGAGCAGTGTCATTGGAACAACGGCAGTAGAGAAAAATAAGGAATCCTTGCAGAAAAACATCACAATGGAAGCCTGATGATTTACAATTTTAAACCTATGCCACAAATCAGAATACAACACTAGTAGGAACTAAATTAATTTTGAAGGCAGGCAACGTGAAATTATCGACCGCCAACATCAAATGACGGGAAATTGTCCACATCTTCGCTCATTAAATTATTTATGCTTGAGTCATTATTCTCGAGCGTTCATTTCACAGGTTATTTTTTATTAGATTGCTAGAATTTTTTGGAAATTCACAATCATGTAAAACTTTTCGAGATGTATTTGTTTTTGTAATTGAGATGCAATGCGAAAGATAGCTCGCGAGACTTTTTTCTATTGTACTTGAAGTTGTCGTTGGAGACGCTCAGACGGTGATTCGATTTACCGCAGGCACCCGTTCTGAGTGTGGAACTTTTTAACGGTCGACCAAAAATTCTATTTTCCCTGGGATCAAAAACTGCAATACTGCCGTCGCTCGCCGCAACCTCTCATCACGCCGACCCTCTGAAGCTCAATGACGGGGAATGGCACAGACTCGACTTTCTGTGGTCAGAAAAGGTTAGGCTTTTCGAAACATTGCAATTTCTCAAGCTGCTCCAATATGGATCTAAAAAAAGAAATTCGAAGATCTTTTTCTGATTGAAATATTGCAGTCACACTATTAAAACTTGATCATTTTTCAAATATGTCGCGGTCATCCAAATTTTCGGTCAATTCTCCTCCCCCGTTTGAGGTCAAACTTTGCCAAAGCTGCCCATTGTTACTGATATTGTCTCGCTATTGCTTATGACAAAAGAACATAATAATAAAATCTGCCCGCAATAAAGGTTTGCCACTCCGTATAGTTCTAGTTCAGCCATGAGCTCAGTGAGTGGAATTTTGATGACGGTCGCTTCACGGAGCTCATTGTGATGCTTGGTAACGTCGGGCTTACAGAGAGTGTGCTTTTACCAAGAGAATGTAATTACTCACACTCTCAATGTTCCGTAGTTCTGTTTCTTAGTGAGCTGATATGGCTTTCCTATATTGAGTTCGGGTTTAATTAAATGTAACTTTTGCTATTATAACGTTTGTTATTATAACGCTTGTTATAATTATAACGTTTGTTACTATAACGTTTATTATTATAACGTTTGTTATTATAACGTTTGTTATTATAACGTTTGTTATTATAGCGTTTGTTATTATCAACGCATTGTCTTTTTGCCAATTAGTTGTCAATTTTTTGTCAACGTGGTTTTAGATCGTGGCTCTGCGCTCAAATTATCCCAGTAGACTTGAAGCTTGAAGAATTATGTCTTGAAACTAAGCTCCCAGCTATTGCACTACTAAATTATTAATGATCGTGATATGCATAAAAAATATTGCGAAGAATATGCACTTTTGTTAATGAATTAACGCTTTACATCCCAAAACTCGCTAAGGAATAAACCAGGGACTATTTTTATTTTCTTCAGAAAGTCGAGTCGTTGATAGACTTGTGCCGCGGTCAGAAGTCAGGCTGCCACTCGTCGGCCTTCTTAGCCGACCAAAAACCACCACTAAAGGTGAAAATATCTGTTGCACAGCAAGTTAATTTGCAAGGACAAGGGTTTGTAACGTCTGGTTCAACAATTGATTCATCAGCGGGCTTCCAAATGCCTAAGCCACCAGTTGGTGGTTCAATGAATATTGTTTTTAACTCGGAGACACCGTTTCAAGTTGGCGGTGTAGCTCACGGACGACCAAACAGCCGATTATTTGGGTGGCCAGAAGATTTCGTCAATGGAGAATCGTTTCGTGGATGCATACGGAACATCAGGATTAACAATCAGGTTAGTGAGCTTCTGATTTCCGCAATAATGATCGAATATTTAAAAGAAACCATTCAATAATCCCACTGCATATACCACTTGAAGATATAGAGATCTTAAATGCGGGAGAGCTTCTTGGTGACGTGACGTTTTCATAATAGAATAGAATAAAATAGAAGTGTCGGCACTAAAGAAATAGGCCCATGGCCTGTTGCCGATTCTTTAATTTTTTGTGACTTGATTCACAAGGGATCCGGCCTTTGGAACCCGATCTTTCCATAACTGACGATTGATTGAGATAGCTGCTGGACAATGAAAAAGTCAGTCACGAAAATACTGAAGTGGTTACCTAGCGCCTCACAATTTTTTACGTAACATTTTGCTTATGTTCTGAAAACAAAATCATTAGAAATCTTGGCATCATAATTAAAAAGTGATTTTAAAAGCCCACGTTATTAACTGGTTGAAATCATGTAGCTCTCTGAAGCTGTCAAATTTTTATTTCATTTTTGGTTGTTATTTGCCCTCGGTAGCTTTAAAAAGTCATTAATGATTTTGTTTGCTTGCAAATTAGATCAGTGCCAGGCCAATTTTCCGCTCTGCTTTGAACCACAGTGAAGCTAATGAATGACTTCTCATTTCTTACATTTGATGATTGCAGCACAAAACCAAAGTGTCTTTCACTCGTGATTGATTGACTCTAATTGAAGCTACACACACCGAGTTCGCTTGGCTGCAAAGCTCAGTCATTACATAGTACGAAGATAAGCAGTAAAGCGGTGGCAATTTTTGTGGCATGGTGAGCAGATTACAGATGATGTTCGGTATGCGCTATCGTTGGCAGACTAACGCTGACGGATGGGAAAGGAATCATATTGTACTTGAACTTCAACTGCCACATGATGCTAGGTTATTGCCTGTTAACTGCTCTAAGAATTGAGTATCTAAACTGGTGTTAGCTGTCGCAATGAATAAGAATAGTTGAGCGGGATCACTTAAGGATTGTGATTGATTAGATACAGATTATGGTGAACGACTCAATTGTACTGTGATTTATTGATTAATTTAATTTAGCGAGATGCTTTTAAAATACTTCTCAGGTTCTTTTAATAATTTTTGTATAATTATATTTTTTATATAATTGAATTTGTTTGAACGAAATTGATTTCACAAAGTCCGCTTTATCCAAATAGTAAATAAATTATGATATTATTCAAAATTAATCTCTTTTAGTTTCACTCCATGCAAGTTGTTCAATTCAAGCACAAAAAAGAATTCTCGTTCTTTCATGACTTTATTTGATACCTTTACAAATCGAATGGAAAAAATAAGTTTGGCTTCTGAGAAAAAATTTTCCACCAAAATACTTATGAAACACTGGTGACTATCGTAAGAGAAAGCCAAGCAAGGGATTGCATATCGAGCTTCATTCAATATAAAGAAAAATAATATTTCTGGGTCTTGAACGCACAAGAGCCGAGCCAGTACTGATAAAAGTTAATACATATTATGCGAAGTAACGTAGTGGCATGAACTACGGTGCGAATATTATCTACATGCAAACACTACAACAGAACATTCACAGGAGCACAGGCTTTTAGTTTTTTTCCTCATGTGAGACCTGCTAAGCGACTTAGAAGCTTTGCAGGGACCAGCTTGTAGGTACAGGCCGACTATCTGAGTCGTTAAAGTGATCCCGCAGTCGTTATTGTTTCATCCCTAGCATTTGCAGTTGCCGAAGGTATCTGAACAACGCTTTTAGCGGCCGAATAGGCAACCGTGTGGTTTATTATTATTTATATGTGATGACAATCGTTTTTATAATTGACTTTTTTGCTTTATGTTGCTCTTCATATCGTGAAAAATTTTTCTATTTACGAGAAGTTGATTGAAGGTCACATAGACAGACTCTATTATATTTTAGACGTTCAAAAATCACCAGGTAACTAAAAATTAATTCCTGGAATAATTCTGTTCGCGAGAAAATTTGATTAAACTCTTAACTTTGGTTAACTGCGTAACTGTTGGCTTCGGCTCAGCTACAAGACGTCGGTGGCGCACGTCTCTCACGCGGCGTGTCGCCGGGCTGCCCGCTACCTACAGTCTGCTCTCCTAGACCTTGTCACAGCAAAGCTCGGTTAGTATATGTGTTTTATCTCTTATATTTATCTTTATACTTTGTTTATCGTAGTCAAAACAAGTCATATTAATCTGGCTACGTAGCTTATCTCTTATTTTCATCTTTATGTTTTGTTTATTGCAGTCAAAACAAGTCATATTAATCTGGCCACGTAGCTTATCTCTTATTTTTATCTTTATATTTTGTTTATTGCAGTCAAAATAAGTCATATTAATCTGCCACGTAACTCTGTATCTATAGTAGTAGAAAACTTGTAAATTGTTCAGTTCAAGTATTGGCTGTTGGCGAATACGTGAGATACGATTTCATTTTAATTCATAAATAATAGAGAAATAATTTGTATTTAATAAAAAACGTACAAAAGTTCGGCTCATACAGTATGTACATACAATGTCTAACTCTAGAGCTTATTGTCATAAAATAATAAGTATTTATATTGTGATAAAATAAGTAAAACCGCAAGGTATTAATGGTTCGCAGAAGAGAAGTATCAAGTAATGTGCGATTCAGTATTATCCCAATGAAAATATTTCACTTACTTGCGCTAAATTGACGAAATATTAAACGCTTAACGCTACAACCAATTAATCGACATAACTCAGCTCAAAAAAGAAATTTGTCTTACCTCTTTACCTGTCATAAGACTTTAAATATATAGAAATGCAATAAAGATTCAATAGAGTGCGTCCATATGAAGAATAAGTCTGAGTTGCTGGCACCAGATGCTCCACTTCTCACATGCCTGCGTCGTGCGAGTGCTTGCCTGGCCTGCGAGGGCCGCTCTGCACGCAGGCGTCACAAGGCGTCACTCTGCACCGCCAGAGCTACGCGTCTCTGGCCCTCTCATTCCGACCTCCTACTGACCACGCTGCCGTGCAAGTGCGGTGAGAACGACAGCTGACTGCTTACTTAATCGAAACATTGTCATCAGTATTAATTAATTGTATTTGTAGTCAGTTTAAATATCGATTTTTAAAATAATTAACAATATTTTATAATTGTCGTCATCACATTGTTAATTTTTGCATATGTTGTGGTTATTTAGTACTTGGAGAACTTTTGAGAGAGTAATTGCAAAAAAATATTCGGTGACAGACAGATAAAATATTTGTTGCAGTTATTTTCACATCTGTCTAAACCAAAAGTTATTGAGCTCTATTCTAAACACTATTGAACGTTAATTAATTCCAGTTTAATCAAAATCAATACGGCAAAACTCATAAATTGATAACAATAAAGCGGAACGACTGTCCTCGTAATACAGTCATTTTAAGTGCGGAAGATCAGTATTTTCTGTGCAGTAACAGTATCAGGCCTAATGTATTATCACGTGTAATTTATTATCACGTCGAATTTATTGTCAAGCCTAATATATTATTCTGTATTCACTAGAGTATTTGGCCGTTCAAAAACTTTTCCTGCGAACACTTGTGTTCCGCGTGATAAAGACGTGGTGCATCGACCGACTAGGCTTCATCTGCTGATCTAATTCTGTTTGCTAGCTGAACTCATGCTTGATATTGCCTATCGGAAAATATTGGTATTATTCACTGTCAAATAAACTAGTATTTAGCAGCAATATCCAATATTTTCTTCCTTGAATTTATATTAATAGATCCCTCCAGTGTTTCAAGATGATTGATGCCGATGAATCTAACTAAGGATTCCCTGCTTCGAGCTGCTAATGCATGACAGCATCGTTCAGAAATATGGTAGCCTTATACTGCCAATATGCTGTTCTTCGGTATCGTTCAGATATAGGGTAGCTCATTGTAAAGTTCTCAATTTTTCTAAATTCCAGTATAAAGACAAGGTCAACGAGCGGTCAAATTCTGAAGCTGACTTCGCAAGGAAGAAGTGACGCTTTGAGACTTCACATAACGACTGGCAAAGTTTGCTTATCTTTTGAATTATCAAAGCCTGCAACAAAAATAAACTTGGAGAAAACTGATTTAGATTCCAGTAATGTAACCGGTCATCATGCGGAAAATCGTTACAGAAGATCTAGCAAGGTTAACGGGTTACGTGGAGATATGTTTCCAGAGATGATTCTAAAGAAATCGAATGAAAGTGATCATAAAGGATTGCACTTGCATCCATACCGAATTAGGAAGTACATGCACGAAACTGAATCATCGAATACTTCTCATTCTGGGGCTTCGGCTAAAAATTTGAACAGAGTTCGTAAAATAGAGGCGAAAAATTTAAGCGAAAACGAAAGATATTTGCATTTTGCGAGACGCTCATTGCACGGAGGAGTAGAGCGTAGCAAGCGGAGAACTCACCCGGCGCCTGAGGAAGAATCGTCGTGGGCCGCCCAAACCGTAGCGTCGCAAGTGTGTTTATCAGAGGCCCGTCTCAACGATGGTGTCTGGCACACACTGTACGCAAGAAGGTTAGATTAAACGATTCTGTTTCACCATAATAAAAGTACTCGAATGATTTATTATTTTATTTTATATTAGAAATTGTTCGTAATTATGTAAATTTTTTGCTTCTTTACAAAGAGTTTTGAAGATTTCTCTTTGCCAGTGTAAACAACACTGACCAATTTGAAAAAAGGACGCTGATGAAATATCTCAAACGCAAAAATTTTGATATTTTCTCCAAAATAAAATGGTGTTTCAGTTGTCGTATTTATTAATTATAATCCCAAATTAACTTTTTGGACAAGGGAAAAATCAAATTTTCCTCATTACTCCTCACAGTTACGGGCAGTTTCTCGAATTATGGGCAGACGAAGGAGACCATCCAAACTACAACTCATCACTCATCGAGGGTCTCTTCTCCAGTAGCAAATTTTCTCCTTCACTTTCCAAAATAGCGGACACTGAACCAATGTTCCGCATCCACGGACGAAAAAACTCTCGTGATTTTCGAAACACTACAGAAAATCTGGCCACGTTGGCGCGCTTTAAAAGTAAAAAGTGGAGCCCTGAGGGAGGAATGAATTTTTACCAATCTTGGGCATCAGTGGAGAGAAATTCATCCCAGTCGTTGTACACAAATACTGAAAACAAAATCGGGATTTTACCTCAAGCAACAAGTATAACATCCGTAAAATCTGGTGAGCCGATACAGATCTGGAACGAAATTCCTTTCAGTGTTGACCAGCAAGAAGGGATCTTGGTTGGAGGCATCCCCGATTTCCACGAGTCACGTTTGGTGGATGTCAGAGATGATCTTTATGACAGTGAGTTATTAAAACGAAATCTTAATTAGTTTTCGGAATTGAATTACAGTCCAATTTCAACCTTGACGTAATAAATTATAATGAAATTCGAAACTGGAACTAAATCAATGAATTTTTAAATGGGGAACTTTCGTTTCGTATGCTGGTAAAAATTCAGTGATTTATTTCCAGTTCCCCATAATTGAAATTTATTTAAGCCGTCATGAACTTGACCATTTTATAATCCCCCAATATATTAGCGCGCTTATTGTATTTCTTCACTGTTCTACAAGGCTGTTTGGATGACCTCCGCCTATGGGGACACCCCTTGCCTCTGCCCCCCACGTACAACACGAGTCAGGCCGCGCAGCTCACATCCTTCGCCAACATGACCGCGACGTGCACGTCTGACGACGTCTGTGCCAACGTTACCTGTCCCGCCGGCCTGCAGTGCCTGGACCTCTGGAACGTCCATGCTTGTGGGTGAGTCAGCAGCAACAAATCCTTAAGCTCCTCTCACACAGGGCGGGAAATCCCGCCGGCGTGAAAAAAACCGCCGTGGGATTTCCCGCCCTGTATGAAAGGGGCCTTAGTGTGTTCATTTTTAATGCTTATGTTTCCGTGCTAAGATTGTACTACGTTTCGTATGCTGGTAAAAAGTCAGTAATTTATTTCCAGTTCCCGATTTAAGCGTTCCTCTTTGCACTGATAGCGATTTGTGTTGTGGATAAAACGTATAGTTGATTTGCTAAAAATTCGTTAAAACATTTCACACGAAATGAAATGATAAACCACTTGTAAATGAGCTGAATTATTCATAAATCAATTCATCCCAAATTCATCCCAATTCCTGATTCAACTTGCGATTTGATAATATATTTATTGAGAAAGGTTGTAGAAGTAGCAAATCTCCGCAACTTGTTATTGGCGGCATTTTCTATTACCAGGAAATAACATGTCGAATGAAGTAATAACGATCTAAATCTCCTCCTCGACCGTCGTGCATTGAGTTAGTTTCGAGAGCTGAGTAGATTGTTATGCTTCGGCAACCTCAATTTTTCCAGTCTGGTTTTGGCACCAACAATTTTGACGGCAATTTTTCGGCAATTGTTTGCAGGTGCGGGCGAGGAAAAACCTTCAAGTCCAGCAAATGTGCGAACGTAAACGAGTGCCAAGTTTGGTCGCCGTGCCTGGCGGGCACTTGCCTGGATTTGGACGAAGGCTATCGATGCNAGTGTCCTGCATCACGCGCAGGTCAGAGGCCTGCCTCGTTGTGAGTGTCCCTCATCACGCGCAGGTCAGAGGCCTGCCAGCGATGGTCTTCATCATTCCAAACCTCGTCTACGCGATTACCTCACTTTTTGGTTGAGAGGCTATTGTGATGAAGGTTATTGTGGTACACATGAAGGCATTGACATAAAACGATTAAGGGCCAGATAAACTGTTGTATCTATGAATGCTTCTTGATAATATCCAGAGTAATCGTTTTTAGAAATGCTCGTACAGTAGCACGAGTGTAGTTTAATAATGTCGGCGTAGAAGAATAGGCCAACTATATTTAACTCAGATTGGCAAATAGGTTGAAAAATTAAAGAATTTTCATGAAAATTTACATTTCCTCAGTAATGTTCGTGATATTTTTTTGGACGAAATTTTTAGGCACCAACAGCCTCTGTAAGAACATTTTAAAGCAGCGCGTTGGTTCGCCGCTTTGCATACTCTTTTATAATATTTATGTGAGTTTTATTCGTCATTATTCGCCTTTGTTCCATAAAGAAAAATTACGTGCCACCTTCATTATGATGATTCAAGGGTGCGTGACTATAATGCGCATCCATACAAGGCGCCTGTCCCGAGGCTTCTTAACAAACCTAGCGATTACTGTCATGTTGTTCCTACCTTCCTCCGCTAACTCTGACTAATGGGGCTGTGCACGCATGTTTATGGTATCGCCGCAGGTACAGTTCTTTATTAAACATGCCTTCAAACACAACCAAATAATCGTCGCACTGGTACTTTTATTTTTGTATCCGAACCTTCCCTTATGAAATTATTTACATTTTCTTACCAAGCCGGAATTCAATTCTCATTGAAGCATAATTGTCCTAAATTATTCTTATTATTTTTTTCATGATTTTATGATGTCGATGTCCAATGTTAACTGCGGTCGTGAATTCGCAGACGATTTGAAAATCGCCTCTGCCGAATTTAGAAAATATTCATTTTTGTTATGAAAATGTTTCAACAAATAAGAATTTAAATTTATCGCAGGTGTTTTCAAAATAAATTTTCTAACCTTGTAAGGTTATAACTGCGAGGTGGCAGTGACGCCTGCATCGCGTCTCTCGCTCTCTGTTGGCTCCGGTGTTGCCTTCATCTGCATCGTCTTCCTGGGCGTCGGTGAGCTCACGCGTCATGTCTGTGGATTCTGAAAAAAAATAAAAATTATTTTCTGTGCAACTAACTTCCTTGAATTGGCCATGACAGTATAATTGATTTAAATTATATATCACGTTTTGAGGAAATTACCAGTAAAGCAAGTTTTCAATTTAATTTTCTTGTAATTTCTGTGTTGTGAAACTCTTTAACTGGAAATTCGTTATACGTAATTATGCTCATATTCCAACAATATAGAAGCACAGCTTTGAGAGGAATGAAGTAAAACTGTACTGCCTGGAGCTGTCTCCTGGCTGCCAATAATAATATTATAGTAGGCTTGTGTCAGAGGTTGACGTAATTGAATTTATGCTGACCGGTACTAACTGCGTTTTATTTTATTTCGAGCCTGGAATACACGCTAACGCTCTTCTAAATTATGAACGAATCGGAAATGAGTCAACAATTTAGCATAAATAAACCATTTGCAAGTATTATTCAGACTGAATGTTAATTTAACTTAATTACTCCATGAAGATTACATCCACAGTGCCCATCCACGTCCAGTTCACTTTAAATGCTTTTCATCTTTAGGAAAACCAGTCTGGCATTTTTCAATCTGGCGATTGATGAGACAAACTGAGTGGCAAGCTGAAAAACTAACGCTTATAAAATCCAGCTGGAAATGCAGAACATGAATTGTTAGAGGAAGTACCTGATGCATTCATTTCAGAATGAAAAATGTCAGGGACAAAGAACAATTTTACAATTCCAAAGTATGAAAAATGAGAAGACTTTATCAGTCATGATGGTGTTTGATATTTTATGCGTTCTTTGTGATTGAAAAAAATAATTGAAGCCTCTCTCTGTCAGAGATAAAGGCTGATGGAGAGTTCGCAGTCCGTAGGCTTGTTTCGACTCTGATTTGCCGGATCGTAATTTGCTCGAAATTTGTGAGAAATTTTTCACAACAATAATGAATGGACATGTTCTAGATCAAGCTGGTTCTCTGGACACATTATGATTGTATGCTGAATTGAGAGTAGGTTTCAATTACTGATTGTATGAATATATACCGCTTCATCGGAGCAAGCGTTCTACTGTATCATAAATTTTGGTTTAAGTCTTGCGAGGTGCAACATAAAGCTGGCAACTCATTTATGGCTAATTCATGATCCAGATTTTGATTTTTTCACAACTATCCCACTATTAAAATAATTCACATAAGCATCTTTTTCGCATAATAGAAAAAGAGGGAAATAATAAGAAGGGAATTTTTCGTTTAAAGTATTTGTAAACTAGATGAGGGACACTCGGGTAAGCAGTCACGAAATCTTTGTATGCATATCAGATAATTTGCAAGTGTTATGATCGTTAAGTTTTATTCCTCAGTGCTGTTGTGGGCCTATTTCCTGCTGAGACGCGTCCTGGGGCGCTCTGAGCGCAAAAAACGCCAGCTGTCAGAATCCAGCTCGGCTTTTTCGACTCCGCGCACGCACCACACCCAAAATTCCCCGCACTGCTCTTCCTCATCCCCATCACACTCCCCAGCTGCACTCCACTGTACTCCATATGATCTTCACGGAGTTTCTCGCGGTATCCAAGGGATTACCCGCAGTATCAGGGCCAAGAATAAGCCTGGCCCAGCCACCGACGGAATACCAGAACTCTGTCGGTCATCGCCGCGCCTGGAGCTCACTGCCTTGCGCTGCAGTGCACCTGGTAAGTTAAAAATTCAGTTGTCCCTCATTATATTTTTTTTAGTTTATAGAGTAGATCAACTGGATAATTAAAAAAATTATATCATGCAAGAACACTATTATTTCAATGCATGGGAATTGAATTTTTGAATCGTTATTCAGTGACTCAAATTTAAAGTGAGTTACTAGACGTGACTCATAATTCAGGCAATCTTTCATTCTGCAGAATGCCATGTATTTTTAGACAATTATATGACTAAACGCTGTTAAACTAATGTTCATGTTGGCGTAACTTATTTCAGCAGAAGTGGACGTCTTGAAAATTTCAGAAATTCACTCATCGTTCCTGGAAAGTTCTGGCTCCTCCGGAAGTTTTATTCGCATGGCTGCGGCTGAATCCTCAATGCATGAGGCAGAAAGCACCACAGGATTTGATATCCCCCAAGCGCTTGTTGTTGATCCCGATTCCGAAGGATCAACCCTAGACTACGCCGAGCAGAATAATGTCAGATCGTCGCGTGAAGTACGACTCATACACATACAATCCAGTGAAATGGAGAGAGAGCGTCGGAAAGGAAAGGACGATTCGAAGAAGCGAGGATCCAGCGGTTGTGTTTGTTCTTCAAAAGTGCGTCAAGAGGAGTCAATTAGTTCTTGTGGCGGTGGCTGCAGCTGCGTTTGCACTTCGAGGGGCGATTCGTATAAGCCAACACAAGACGATTTGCGCGATTATGCGTACGAGGGCGAGGGCAGCACACCGGGATCCTTATCGTCTTGTTGCTCTGGTGAGAATACGGAAATTTAGTGGGCATTCTAAATTATTTTGCTTACATTAAAGATGAAAAATTGGTTGGTCTTAACTGATAATTCTGGTCTCTCATGACTGTTTCAATGCAGGACATGACCCAATGGGAGGACCGATGACTGACCACCGTTTTCTGGGAGGTTTTCAAGAAGTTGCCATTCTTCTCAACTGCCTTTCATCTACTGAAGATATTGATTTTCAAAAGGCTAAAACTTGTGATACTAAGCCAAAAGCGATGGGTCCGATAAAACTGAAAAACACGAAAGAACAATTTTTATACAATAACGACAATTTGATGAGAAATATTTCCATCTCATCACGTGATATTCAAATTGAATACAACGATAAATCGTTTCACGCAAATTCTGACATTTATCGGAAAGGAGGTTCTCTGCCTCGAATGAAGCCTTCATGAGCTTCTCGATCTCCCCATGTATTGTTTTTTAATTGTAAGGCATAAAAATATTGAATACATACGAAACAATAATACATAAGAAAAGTTATAAACAACGACGATTGTAATTATAATAAATATTAAGCAGAGTTGTTTGGAGATTAAAATTTGTGTATAGCAGCCAATAAATTACGAAGCGCAGAAATTGATCATGATCTATCTGGTCTCAGTAACTCGCATGCAACTCGTTTTTTAATTGCTTATGAAAAGTTTGTACTGACTTAATTATTTTGAGTTTCTTGTTTACGTTATACTCTCTATATGGCATGCATATAAAAGTTCAAGATGATGATAATGGTTTCGTGCGAGGCTTGAAAAAATATTACCATATCGTTCAAATAACAGCTCAGTCTAACAGCACTAGACCACAGCTGATAACAGCTCAGTCTAACAATGCTAGGCCACGGGTGATAACAGCTCAGTGTAACAACACTAGACCACGGTTAACAGCTCAGTGTAACTAAGCTAGACCACGGTTACCAGCTCAGTGTAACTAAGCTAGACCACGGTTAACAGCTCAGTGTAACTAAGCTAGACCCGGTTAACAGCTCAGTGTAACTACGCTAGACGACGGTTAATAGCTCAGTGTAACTACGCTAGACGACGGTTAATAGCTCAGTGTTATTAAGCTAGACCACAGTCGAGCTAAGCAATGTGCATTGTCGAATAAACATTACTTGGATTTACAACTCGACTGGCAGCGGATAATAGGAGGCCTGATTTGACAGAGCAAAACCCTGCAGTTTTCAGCAAGTTTTTGCGAGCTATTCGCGAACGCTGTCCTCCGTCGATTAATGTTTACTTTACTTCTCTTTAACGCTATGTAACGACGGTATGTGCTTATTTATTTAGAACGTTGCATGCAAATTATAGTGTATGACATTTTAAAGAAAATAACTCTGAACATTGGTATATTTTTGTACCGAGGGAGTTAAATGTTTAAAGATTAAATTTAAGACTTTGCTGTTCCTACACTCATTTTAACTAATAAACAAGAAAAGTACATTTTTAATCAATAAATGTGAATTTTGTATCATTGCCTATCTGAACTGCTGATCAGTTCAATATTCAATTGACGTGGATTTTTGGGAAGAAAATATGCCATGTTGATGTGAGTGAGCTCTGTCGGACTGCTGTGCTATACAGCACCTCAGCAACGTTGATTGTTTCGTCTTCAAGATTCGTATGAAATGCTATGAATGAAAATCTTCTATTGTCAAATTATAAATCAATTAACAAAGGATAATTAATCCCTAAAGATCTGAAGTTACCATTTGAGATACATTCTGAGTGAGTTAAACTTGAACTTGACATTTAAGCAACTAGTCACACACACGTACGAGAGCTCGGCCTCAGCCTGAAAATAGAGAATAAATATAAATATTAAACAAAAATGATATAATATGCTTAATACTAATAAACTACTCCTACCGTTGTTTACAAATTGAGTTTTTCAAACTCTTATTGCCCTTAGTAATTGAATTAATTACTGAAGTAATTATTGATTTACTGAAACTTGATTACTCAAGTAATTCCATTTAGAATTGAATGAGTAATCTCAGTGATATATAATTATACCCGAGGTAAATATCCATCAAAAGAGATCTATATGTGTCAGCTCCGGTTCCGGCTGTCTTCTCCATGTTATCGTACCATTCCCGGCAACGTTCGCTGCTTCAGCCAAATCTGCGACGAGTTTCAGGCGATATTTTCAATGGGCTCATCAGCGCCATAATCTGGCCACTTTACGCGACGGCCGGCCTAGATGTGGCCTCTTCCATGAGTCATAAAGGCCTCAATGCCTGCCTCAACTTATGCGATCGACTGAGTGCCTTGACTGGCAAGTGACAGCCTCTCTGCCTGCCTCAACATATGCGATCGACTGAGTGCCTTGACTGGCAAGTGACTGCCTCACTGCCTGCCTCAACTGATGCGATCGACTGAGTGCCTTGACTGGCAAGTGACTGCCTCACTGCCTGCCTCAACTGATGCGATCGACTGAGTTCCTGGGACGAGCGAATTCTACGTCGCCCTGCTTGCATCAGTGAGGTGGAATCGACTGAGTCTTTGGCCTGAAGAGTGACTGCCTTGCTGGCAATGGATTACGTTTAATCAGATTACCTATCCCGCTTAAGCTCAACGAGCGCACATGTAGGCAGTTTTTTTAGTGTCTTCAGTTTTTCGGTGCGACGTTACATGCGAATTAAATCTCGCATTTATTACTCTCAGTTAATGCGCGTGTATTTTAACTCATACGACCATTCATTGCAAGAATAAACAATGAGTATTTCAATGGTTCAGTCATATTCCGTACATATGTGCATGTATTCATTGCTTGAATTAGCCACTAAAAATACAAAAGGACAATAGTCTCTGCGGGTGAAATACAGAGACCGTGCCCTCTCTATATTGTCCAGCTCAGGGACGAGCCCTTCCATTTTCTGATTCGTTCTCTGCAACAATCAATTGAAACCCTCGAATGTTCCACGAACCTTCAACGCCAATATAATTTGATGTCACTATACGTCCCTACCAAGCTGACCCACCCTTGGTTTAACAATGTCATGGTGCCATGAAAAATCATGTTATAATTTAGGAATCTTGAATAACAAGAATGCGGTGCATGTAGTATTAATAAGAGGTAAATTAAAAGTGTCCATGTGACATATGAAACTTTATGAAGAGGAAAAGAGATCATGCCACTTTTTACACTTGTTTAATGATACCATCTTAATACATGGCCGAGACTTCGTCGTCAAATAGGTAAACAAATACATGCTTAACCTAAATGCACTGAAGTTTATGCGGAAACTCGCACAGCTATCAATTTATATAACTTTTTTTCTATCGAGCTTACGATGTTAATTGCTTGCACTTTTGAGTAAGTGTTCTTCTATGGCAAATTTTATTCACGGAAGACTCTACTAACGACGCTAATTAACTCATATCTTATTACTATATTATTAGTTCGAGAAGTAAATACTATAATTATTTCTAATCAAAGACAAGCGCGCAATTCATCTTGAAAGCTCCTTAAATTATTTTGCTATCACAGATCTCGAAACCAACGAATGGCTTGCTGCATTTTGCAGATAGCGTTTTATGCGAGCCTCTGGATGATGTACGCAACAGATTCCTAACGAGCCAGAATAAAGCTCCCTCAAAAATTACATTCCAGTACAGGACAGAGTTTTTCATTTTGCCGCAACTCAACATACATTACCAGAAACACGGACAAATTCAGAGAGATGAGTCAATAAAATTCGCTGTCAACATAAATTTGTCTCCAGACGATCTTCTTATATTGCAAGCAATGCAGGGTCATGTATTGCTGTTAAAGCACAATCTTGTCAAGGAATCTTATCAGGCATATTAATCGGCCAGCAAACGCACAATAGCTCCCGAGTCGGGGCCAGATAGCGTACAAGGCCCTCTGGTGGCGCAGTTTTTCTTCAACAACACCGGGAGCAAAATTGCGCTGTTTCAAACCAATTTGTTTGGTGATCATTTTTAGGCGTCATACCAATGAGCTTAAGAATGAATAAATTATGTCCCAGAATGCATAAAGCTCGTTTGAGTCTTATTCAGATCTTCAAAAATTTTTAATAATCTATTCATTTAACAATGAGAATATATAGTAGCGTCCGTCTTGTGTACAATGTAATTTTGGTTCTTTAAATAACTGAGGAAACCGTATAAAAACTTGAAATGGCAGCTTTCTTGTGCCTATTGATATAAATATCTGCTGAACTATTTACATGTTCGACAGGGCAGGGTGACCCAATAGGTTACAGTTTAGAGTACCATGCAGGAGTGGAGCAGAGAGGTGCGGGTTCGATATAAGCTCACTATACAACAATTCTGGTCAGATTCAGCGAGGAGGCCGGGCGGTTGGGCAATGCGAAATTTAAGCAGTGTGTTGTGAGTTCGAGACCGAATGTGAATGTTCTGAGGTGTACAGAATTGTGAATTGAATGTTGAAATGTTCTGTTCTGCTGTGAATGTTCTGAGATGTACAAAATTGGCGACAGACCTACGGCCTAATAAACGCTGTAACCGCAATTGAAATTATTAATTGGTGGTACGTAATGTGTTTCCGGAGAACGTATTCATACTAATGTCTCAATTGAGATCCAAATGAAAATCTAAAATAATCTTTATAGTAAATGCTTGATTTCTATTCTAGACATTTTCCTTTGTTATTCTCGTTTGTTTAATCATCATGTTTGATTTTGAATTCTCTTGAGTCATTCAAAACGCCAATCAATTTTTATTCCTATTTCTATCATTATTGCGAAGAAAGTATTTAAATACAAGCGGCGTTTTTCGGGCTGTGGTTAATGTTTTATGTTAGTTCGATAATAATTAATCTTCCTCTAATGAGGATCTTATTCTTCGATTTAAAATATACTGAATATTTTACGAATTTTGATTAAAGATCTCTCATTAAGTTTCTTATACATGAATAATGATTAATTTTCTATGAATGTAAACCCATACTACGAATTGGAATGATGTAAATTCAATGAGTGTCTTAATTCACTGTGTTTGGGTATTAATTACAGTATCCGAGTGGGCGAGAACTACGAAAAATACGAAAGACGTTCGAAACTCAGACTAGTTCGGCTGAGTGTTCTTTGAATTTTTATGGTGCGATGTCATATCGATACGTCATTTATGGTGAAGTTATTAGTCACAGAAGATGCACCGTATATGGTGTAGGAAGACAAGTTATTTCCCACCAAATATAGTAAATGAAAGTGTGAAGGAAGACAAATTATTTCCCACCATATATAGTAACTGAAAGTGCACAACTATTTTAATCGAAGAGTGGCCATTGACACGTTAATTGCTTGGGTTCAAAGTAGGTACTGTCAATCAATATCAATACGTAATCGGTGTATCATATGAAATCTAATTGCTAACATAACAAAAATTAATTGTAGATTATTCCTGAGGGACCAATTTTAAGTTGACAACTAATAATTAGCGTCGCTTTTTAGAAAAGGAAAGGAAGATCGCGTGGAATTTCAATTATGCGACGCATGGTTGAGGCTCGAGAATTTAAAGTTTTTGGCTTCAAAACTTAATAAGCTTTAGAGCTTTAATAAGTCCTCAAGTATTATGAGTTTTAAGATTAAAAACTTTACTTGCGGTCACTTTGTGGCAACTTCAGCGCGTAAGTAAAATTTGAAGACAGCATGGGATGAATTCCGGCATGATTACACAATTAAAAAATTTAGCCGCTCTAGTACATAGCGGTAAAAATGAGCAAATAGCTCGTGCTCATAAAACATTGATTATCTATGCAGATATTATGCAAAAGCATAAAAATAAATACAAGGAATGCCATAAATTGTAATCATTCTACATCTTGGGAACCTATTCAAAGGGAGTAAATACGTGTATACTCCCTTTATATACATATTTATACAGCGTCCATATCAGTGTATCGCTTCTCACAGAATTATTCGTAAAAACAGCCCAAATTTTGGTCCCGTAATCCGGCTTCAAGATTTTCTTTAGTATTTTCCAATAGAGCCGCTCTATTGGGGCTGACCAAATTGTTTTAGTGGCGAGAAAAACTCTGCCAATTTGGATGGCCATCAGGAAGCTGGGCCTCGCTCGTCTTTCAGGTCCATGTTTGTGTTGCTTGCTACGCCAGATAATGGCTCGGTGCTGGTAGTCTAGAGTGGCCGATTGACATATGCACGTTCATTTGGTCATGGAAATGTTAATGTTTATTCAATAAATATTAATTTGATAATATATTATTAGATCATTGGTTTGTTAACCTGCAGTTTTTTATACCATATATGAGTTTTTTGTACCAAATTATACCATACCAAATTATACAAATAAAAAATATATTTTTATACCAAATATACCATTTTTTTATACCAATATGAGATTTCATCAATGGATTTGAAAAATAAATTAAACATAGTTTTATAGAGAATTCCTCCC